TGGCAAAGTACTAGCAATGAATAACATCTGAGACTTGGAACTTTGTAAAGCTTTCAAAGTCACTGCTGAGTTCCCTAACTACTTACCTGCTTGCTTGGCTGCTCATGTTAGAAGGGTGACCTGATCCAGGTAGTGTTTGGGTAGTATGCTGCACATTCCAGTTTTTAATGAAGGATTTCACTGTTTTCAGAAGGATAAGCATCCTAATGATCTGTGCCTCTCCATGATTTGTTTGTTTGAAAAGCTCTTCATGGAGCTTCATGGTCAATTTGTCTTATCTCCTTGTGAGTTGTGGCTTGAAATTCAATATCTGTCTTTGTCACTTTGCTTACACACGGGCTGATATCATTACACTATTTTGGGGGACTTTTCAAATGATTGATTTGCACCTGAGCTGATCTAGGGTTGCCGTAGGAAGAAAGGCTGAATATTTGCAGTATGCACTTTCGAATTTTCTAATTTTCTTTAAAAAAACAAAGCTTTTAAAAACACAATCAGCTTTTTTGTCTTTATAATTTTTGGAGTAGGTTGTGTAGATTCTAATTCTAAAATATCATGATTGCTTGCAAGCTCAATCAGCAACAAATTGTGGAAACTTTGCAGGGAATGAATATATTTGTAAGACACATTAGTTCTATAACTGCAGTAAATATATAATAGTTTATATATGTTGTGAATAATTTAGTCTCCAAATGGTTGAATATCTAAAAAAAATGGCTCAGAGTTTGCTTACTTAAGCATTATCACATGTGTGCCTGCTGCTGTTTAATGTCAGGGGCTGTTTGAACAGTTGTTATTGTTCTGCCAACAGCAGAGGGGAGAGGGAAGGGTGATTAGACAATAATTAGGCTTTTATATTTTCAGTTATTTGCTTGGCTTTCTCCATTCTGAAAATGCGCACATTGCTTTATGACTTTGGTTGTTATAAAGCCAGAGTCTTAGCAGTGTAAATCACGGTGGGCAGCAGAACTGCCAGCAATAAGTGGAACTTCATTAGGGAACATGGAATTAGAAGCACACACAAGCTTTAATCACCCTGATTTTTATCACCTTGCTGATTGAATAATGTCTGTTTAAACTGCGATGGCTGTGGTTAATCACCATATGACGCTGAACAGAAACCACACACACACTCTGATTAAGATGCTTATTATACCCCTCAGGATCTAAAATGAATTCAGGTGTCAATGTGGAATACAGTGGCTTAATCCACTGTAAACCCTCTCTCGGTTTCGGTAATTGGAGCAGGCGATTGTTTTAATTACGCACAGGCCAGACTGCTGCCTCACCAGACAAACCTTGGAGCTCACTGCCAACATGGCACCTTCTCAAAACCCTGCTGCAGGAATACAAGCCGCTGCTTTTTGACACCACCAGTGTATTTGCCTTTTTTTCAAGTATGGATTTTTATTGAGAATTGTAAGGGTTTCCTGGAATTTGGCCTTAAGGATTATAGTGGACAGTCATTGCATTGCTTTTATACATATACCGTTATACTGTATATATGTATCGTGAGATAAAGCAGTAGTTTCAGTGGGTTCTCAGTTTTAGGTACTGTAAGTTGCCTCTAGTCAGGTGTAAATCAGAGAGAAAACAACCTAGTGACATGATACAGTAGATGCTTGAACAGAGGTGATCAGTGATAAATTTCACCCTCGAAATACTCCTGTTCCCACACAGGGCTCTCCCTTTCCATTGACCTTTCTGAGGGCTGGTGAAAGATGGTGTCGGGGGTGTTTTCTTGTGAGAGCTGAATGCCAAAGCACCAGCCACTGACATTAAAGCTTATCTGCAAGGTAGCACCCCCCACTCGGCCTTGTACATGGTTGTGCCCCCACAGCCTGTCCAGCTTCCACATTCCTGTCTTCCAAATGTTCAGACAGGAGTGTGCACCACTACAACATGTTTTTTGAAACAGGAACTGAACGCCAGTTTTGAAACTCTTAATGTGTACAGTGATGATCCTGAGTTTAACCAGGAAATTATTTAAATGTAACGTGTGGCCAGTGTCTTGATGTTGCATCTCATCCAACAGCCTATAGGAGAAGACCAAGGCAATTCAGTCTAGGCATTGCAACCTAAAGATGCTCCTCACGTAGGGAAATGTCATAAAAAAAACTGCAGGCCTTTTGGTTTCTGTTTTCATTCCAATCTAGAAAACAACTTGTAGTCTTGCACTAGTTCAACTTTGTATATGTGGGAGAATGTAAATCAAAGGCTCTTTCTGTATCTGTTTTCATTATGTTAATCATTAATGACTTGAGTAAAGGAGAAATAAAATTAATACCAATGTACATAACCATATAGAGACAATAGGACTCTAGTGTACTTAAAAGACATATGAAACAATGAAGTGAAAAAGACCTTTGGGAAAATAGCTTCTGTGGCTAAGAGTATATGTTTGCTGACCACAATGTCTGTAAAATAACCATCGGTTATAGATCATTTTGACCGAACAAGATGTTTATTTAACATAAAGTGGTTTATGTGCACATAGGTTTTATGCACTGTACAATAAGTACTGAAACTCATACTGGTTTCATTGACTGCCCATAATATCATCTTGAACAGACTGAGTTACCAATATAAACATGGTGGATGATATTATAGACACTACAGTTATATATTAAAAAACCCCTAATAATACCAACCTAACTCTGCTGATTTCTCATCTGCCTTTTTTTTTTACCAGAGCACTAGTGCCTTTGGACCCCAACTCTGATCAGCGGACCACACTCGGCTCTGATGGGCTATTGGCTCACTAGGGTGCTGTCTGTGTTGACTATAGAGCAGCACCTGTCTTGATAACGAGAGAGCTGTAGGGATTGTGGGGTTTTATTTATAAGTGGATGTACTGCTTCAAAGGTTCAGGTCTTGCAAAGGGGAGTATTAGACAGATATAAAGAAATATGCAACTGCATTTTAGTACATTTACAAAACCGTAATGTACAGTTCAATGAGACACTTCCTAAAACATGTAATTGAGATTTTAAATGCTCCTTGACAAAAATAGCATTTTCAGAAGTCTGAGTGTCGAACCACACAGCTGGTACGAGCTGCTTATGCAAAAAAGCAGTACACACACATCATGCCATATTATTATGGCTGAGATTTCAGTTTCCTACTCTTGATAAGTGCACTGACTATACCGACTAAACCGACGTTTTTGCAGTTTTTTTTTGTCATATTCCTCAGGTGTATAAAACACGAGTTTGAGGGAGATTCTGTGGTTTAATTTCTCTAAAAATGAATGACCCCCCCCCCAACTACACTGAATAGAATATTTAAGCACTTGCTGATACTGCTGGGCAAGCCTTTTCTAAGATAATCTGGGTCTTAGGTTCCAAAATCCAAAGGGGTTTGCAGATGTCACTGTTTGTTGGGCCTGTACAGCAATACAATACTCCCACTTTTTCCTTGACAATTTTGAAGGAAAAGAAGTCCAGGTGTCTTTTGCTAAATGGTTTTCATTGTAGAGAAATCTTGAAAGCTATCCAGCTCTGAATTGTCCAGCAGAAGTCTGTCTGGTTTGTAGTGATTGATTTGTTTCAAGAATGAGTTTGGCAACATGGGTAAAAGTTTAATCCTATGGTGCAGAAAAAAAAGGCATTGAAGTCAATGACAACATTGACCGACATTTAAATGAGTTTGTTATAAAGACTTAGTGATAAACAGTACAGCAGATGTGCTTTACATGTGAAAATGTCAAAATGTGCAAGCATTTGTGAAATAAATGTTTATCTATTTTAATCTGTTGGATCTTGTGCTGGTTTTAAAAATGTAGTGACTAATAGAAAAAAATGTGATTTGCGTGCATACTGTATGTCTGGGAGTGCAGAGCTGAGTGTCCAAGGAGTGACTTTGCCAGGCAACCAAGCCCTTGAGATACAGTATATACTGTACATCACTTTATCTCCCCGGTCCCCTTCAGAAGGAAGAAAATAAAAGACTGAGCTGATAACTCTTTCATGGCCATTAGCCTGTAAGTGTTCCTGTGGGATCTGAGGTGTCCATACCTTTATCTCTGTTGAGCTATTGTGAATATAGCTCTGCTGTAGATCAAAGGGTGGCCACAGCACTTATCCATGTCACTGTACAAGTGATGAAAAACAGCTTCCTGGATGCAAACACCATACTACACTGGAGAAACCCGGACACTTATGTGATAAAGGACAGCCCATCATTGGCATTTACACTCGCAAACCCATCTTCATCTCATTGAGGTGACATCATTTCAGCAGAACAAAGAAGGAGCAGGTGGCATTTGTGATGGACAAACCTTTTCCCTCATATTTTGTCTCATCAATGTAAAGTTAGGCAATACACCAGATCCATCGAATAAGATACTGCATCATGATTAATAAAATCCTTTATTTAACCATATAGGTAGGGAACAAATTTCACAATCCTGACCTGGAGAGTTACCCATTTTACACTATGGAACAAGTAATAGGTTTATTCCCTGCTGAAAAAAAGAAGAAAGAGAACACAACGTTTCGGCCGTGGAGCCTTCTTCAGGTGTGAGCTACTACCCTCACACCTGAAGAAGGCTCCATGGCCGAAACGTTGTGTTCTCTTTCTTCTTTTTTTCAGCATGGAATAAACCTATTACTTGTTCCTTTGCAGCCTACGCATGCTGACGCAGCTACCCACCATTTTACACTATGCTACACAATATGTTAACTGTATAGTACATTTTATAATATATAAATTTATAACGTTTTCATGAAATAAAATAAAGAATAAAGATGTTTTTATGAACATCGTATTAAACAAAATAAGGCAGTGAATCTAATGTACAACTCATACAGTGGCGTGCTGTGACATTTTTTATAAAGAGATATTGGATTTGCTGTGATGCCGCACACATTAAGATGCAAGTATGGAGCAGTAACCATGTTCTGTGCCCTTGCTTTATGAGCCTTAGATCTTGTTTTCAGTCCAAGCCTGTTTCCCAGGTGCAGCCGGACACAGTAACTCTTGTTTTTCTTCTCATCTAGTTTAAACTGGGATCAGTCGAGCTGCATGCTGTCGCAGAGCCCATTGAAGTTATTAAAGAGCTGATTAGCCATGGACTGGAGCACAGCACTGAGCTGCAAGCCAGGAATCAACACCTGCAGGAGGAGAATGAGAAACTGAGACGTGAATGGGAGTATGTTACTGGAGAGTAAGTACATTTCTATTAGAGTAAGAAAGGGTGTGCAAAATACCCTTAATCAGATGAATTCATTCATTATTATAGCTGCATGAATTGATTTTCAAACATGCACAGATGCTTAATTGAAATTTTAAATGGAGATCTGACATGCATTGCTATTTATAGTAATAATAATTTACAAAGTGCAATAGTGTCTTTGATGCCTGCCTCTTGAATTTTTAATTGAAGACTTTTTTCTGAATTATGTTCTAGTTTTCATAGTTATGTTCTGGTGAAGATGCTTAAGATGTTAATGACTAGGTATATGTAGTGCATGTATCTGATATAACTATTTTTCAACTTTACAGGCCGGGCACAGTTGTTGGAGGATACGTTTTTTCCTCGTTTCACTGCTGTTGGCCTTCAATGAGAAGTAAAGCTAGATTGTAACTAATCATTCCTTCTCTAGGTTGCTCCACATTGTTTTGTCTTCAGACCGGCACTTGTGCATCTTCAGAAATCATCAAATCTTGATTTTCAGCATACTCTAGCACAACAGATACAAGACGGAATGAACGAGAAGAATGTTGAATTGAATAGTAACAAATATTATAGATTTGTAACATATGACCCATTTCTTAAATAAGCATTGTTTCCTCCTTGAAAGATGTAGCTGTTACCACCTGCCCCCTTTATCCCAAATACTGTAGCTCTCTCCACACTCTTGAATTGGGAGCGTTGTGGATGACTCTGTTTCTGAGCTGTTCTGAGGCAGTGTCATGAAGCCTGTACACCTTTGCTGGAAAACAGACTACTTTTGTTTTCAGTGTGGGACGGAAGAAATTGCACGAACAAGCCTTGTTGGACAAAAGTGTCTTTTGTGCTGAGCTAATTATCAGCATGTTACATTGCTCAAGTTGACGTGGGTCCCTCTGCAATACGTCTTGCAGTTGTAAAACAGTCAGTCCTCTGGTCAGAATGATCTCACCCTCTGCTCAGTGTCTTTCTTCCACAGCGTTCTGCAGCTCTCCCTTCACACTGTTTTTTATGGTATCCTTAGCTGCAGTCACATTCTTTCCAGCTTGCTCCAGCTGCTCGCTGTCTTCTGGGTGACCAGTTAAATCACGATTCGAGCCAGTGTCGAATCATCTCCTTCTCCTCCCAGTAAAGCTTCACTCTGGGACATGTTGTAGCTACAAGAGCTCTTATTTCAGGACGATGACTTGCAGGGTCAGACCCTGAGCCACGCCACAGAAATCAGACAGGAGTGTAGCTTATGTCTGGCCAAAGACAAAAAAAAATGTTTAGGATGTTTAGGGGAACTGATGTAATTTGTTGAAAAGAAACTGTAACCTTTGAATTTGTCTGATTTCTTTTTAACAGGATCACATATAATGATTACCAGCGCTTGATTTCTTTTGATCTTTAACAAAGAAAAACACGCCCCCCCCCCAAAAAAAAAAATAAATAAAATACACGTAATGCTGCATATTTTTTATTTGATTACTGAATTTCTGTCTGCACACTTTGATAGGTCACACTTCGATTAAAATTTTGGAACATCCAAGCACTATGAATAAGCTTAATTTCCGTTCCATAACCTCAAGGAATGTTGGGAAAAGCTTTTGTAATTATGTTCCACCACAAAAAAAAAAAACATCTTGCCTAGAAAGGTTTACTTACGGTACAGTGCCTTGAAAAAATATTCAGACCCTTCTGCAGTTTTCAACTTTTGGTTCTTTAAAACTTGCAGTCTTCAAGTCACTTTGAAGTGGCAATTAATATATACTGTATATATTATAAACATAGTGTACCATACAGTATGACTTACACTCAAAGAAATCAACAAAAAGTAAATAGATAACTGATATAACAGAAAACTGGAAAAGTCATAACAGTCATGATTCAAACACTTTGCTAAGGCATACCTAAATTAAAGGTGGTCAAAATTGCCTTAACAAACCACACAATTAGTTGAGTGACCTCTATTTGAGCCATATAATTTCAGAATAAATACACGTGTCTCTTCAAGGTGCTTCGGTCAAGCAAAGATTCTATGAAACCACTTTGGGATAGTTGTAGAAAAGGCACAGATCAGGCGAAGGCTAAGACACTGGATATCCCTTTGAGCACAGTGAAATCAATTATTAAGAGAGTGGAAGATGTATCACAATGCCAAGACACTGCCTAGATCAGACTGTCCCTCCAAACTGAGCAGCCAGGTTAGCGATACTTATTGCGAGGCCAGGAGCAAGTTTGAAACAGCTGGAGTGTTCTGTGGCTGAGATGGGAGATAGTCACCACAAGTCAAGACTGGCCCGTATGGCAGAATGGAATGAAAGAAACCATTATAGAAAGACAAGTATCTCAAATCATACACAGTGAATGTGGAGGGAGTTTACAACAAAGCATGGTCCTGTATATATGTGGTGAAATTTGTTTTGTGGTCAGGTGAGACAAACTGGGAACTTTTTGGTTTTACTGCAAATTTGTGAGTCTCGTGAGAAATAACACTGTTGTCACCATTTTGGTAGAGCAGGCACTGAGATAGAGATTGATAGAAGATAGAAGATTGTCTTGATATTTACCTCTCAAATGAAACAAAGTACTGGCAAATATTGGAGAACCTGCCCCAGTCTGCTAAAGGGTGAAAACTGGGGCAAAAATTTACCTTTAGAACGACAATGGTCCAGAGCACAAGGCCAGAGCTTACACTGGAGTGGCTTAAAAATGAGAAAGGATTTGCCCTTGAGTAGCCCAGTCACAGTCCTGACTTGGGCAACAAACAGATTTCAGTTTTTTGTTCCTAGTTTTAGCCGACGTTTGCTATGATTTACTTTCAATTTAGAAATCTTCAGTTTGAGCTTTCAGGTTTTGAATAAATGTTACATTTAAAAAGATGTGTATGTACCATTTTGTAATTTCACAAAATTGTACATCCTAGAAAGGGTCTAAATACTGTACATTTAGGCACTGCACATAAATTAAACCAGTTACCATATTCTGCCTTGTCAATTTAAGTGTCTTCGCCTTTTTTGCAGGCCACTGATTTATATGTCAGTAAGTCTTTATCAATAGTAAAACGTCTAAAATATACAGTATGATGAAAATTAATTTGTGTCCTTTTTTTAATTTTGAATGCCTTCCTTTCTTTGGCCTAGGTCATACTGTTAAAATAATAATTAAGGAAATAAAGTTTGTACTTTTTAATCAGAAACATTCAAATTGAAATAAATATTTAATGAACAGCTTTAAATGGGCTATCAGGATATGTTTAAGGTATTTAAATACAATCTTGATGTCCTTAGACCATATGGAACTGATCAAACATTGGTCCTATGATGTTTTCACATGTGCTCTTCGTTTGAAAGGTAGCAGGATGTTTGGGAACATGGGCCATTAACACAAGTTTCTGAACTGTCCTTCTGAATCTCAGTTTCTGCACTGCGTACCTGCATGAAGGGTTTTTGATGTCAGAGTTTCACCCTCCTTGTTCTCTGTCTGCAGACTAGAGAAGTATGTCCAGGCCAAGGAGACACTCGAGGGGGACCTGTACACTCGCTTTGCACTTGTCCTTAATGAGAAAAAGGCAAAGATAAGAAGCCTGCAGCAGAAGTTAAATCACCTACAAGGGGATATGGAATCTGTGAATGTGCCGAGGTAACCAGCAGAGTATTTTATACAGTACAGTATATACAGTGTTGTTATACTTTTCCTCTGAAGATCTATGAAAAATAGACATTGCAGATAAACTGTAGTTACAGTACATATACTGTATACTGTGTACTGATGGAAAAAAGAAACGCAACGCCTCCTCCTCCACACTCTTGCCCTCCCGTCTGCGTGGGACAGGCTGAAGAGTAACTCATCCGTGAAGAGGACCTGAAGCCACTGCTGACTAGTCCATCGCAGCCTCTGTCTGGCCCAAGGCAGTCGGGTGTGACGTCTAGGAGGTGTGAGCAGAGGGCCTCTGACAGGTCGCTTTGCTCTGAGGCTCTAAGGCCTGCAGCATAGAGCCTCACTGTCCTGCCACTGATGTGGGCATTGTGTCTGCCGGCAGTTTCAGCAGCAGTACAGGTGGCAGATCTGAAACGATCTCTCAGATGGACCAGTCCGAAGTGTGGGTCCTGCTCTGGTGTGGTCACTCGAGTGCAACCGGATCTTGGATGGCCATCTGTCCTGCCGGTCTGTTTACAGTATGTGATCCTTGATTCAATATCAATCAATCAATAAATCAACCAGTCAATTACTTGTGCCATCCTTCACAACAGTTTGCCACTGAAAACTTTCAAACTTGTGTAGCAGTTAACATTACTGTGTAGCTCGTCTGTTTAGGTAGCAGTGAAATAGTGGAGCAATGGTCAGGGCTGACTGCTGGTCAGAAAGTCCTGGGTTCAAATCTCAGATAGGGGTACTGCTATGTTACCCTTGAGAAACTTATGGCACTGGTTGGTAAACACACACAAATGTCAGTTGTATAATTAAGTAGCAAAATCTGTTGGCTTTTTTTTTGTTAGCAGGAAATATGATCGTCAGGGTCTCAGTTTGGGATGGCAGACTCTATTCAGAGTGGAACACTGTGCAAATCTCCTGTTTTACACAGATCTACATTCGTTTTAAAGAATAAGATAAGATCACTTTATTAGCCATATACAATTTCTTGTATGAGGAATTTGTCTTTTTGATTACCCCAACTTGCTCTCCATGAGACACACAGATAGGGAGAGAGAAGCTGGGGGTCAGAGCGCAGGGTCAGCCATTTATACAGCACCCCTGGAGGAGTTGGGGTTAAGGGCCTTGCTCAGGGGCCCAATGGAGTAGGATTCCTCTGCCGATCACAGGATACGAACCAGCAACCTTCCAGCCACAGGTGCAGATCCTTAGCCACAGAGCCACCGCACCACAAATAAAGCATGGGTTACTCTTTCAATCTTATTCATTCTTAAATCTATGCCTGTTTGTTTTTATTGTTTATTTTTAAGAACAGAAACTTGAGAAAAAAAGCCAAAAAAGCAGAAAAGGAACGGGTGTTTGATCGCTGTGTTTAAAGTTCTGAAATGTTGAAGCGCACGTGACTCTTGTTACTTTCCACTCTGACAATCCATTATACCACTGACAAGGCATTTACCTCTTATGATGACTAAAAAATGGTGTGGTTTTTGTGCGGTTTTGATGGCTTATTACCCCTGTGAATTATCTGCTCTTTCTAAAAGGATGCCTCTTGTATTAGAGAAGCCAACAATGTAGGAGATTGCAGTCACACATGAAGCAGGAAAGTACAATCTGTTAAAAGTGTAGCTGCCTTATGTATCATTATGTTATGTATTTTTTTCTAAATAAACACTACCTATGGGGGACTCTTCCTTGTATTAACAAGGTCCAGCAGATCCCTTTTTGTGGCACGCATGTCCAGTGTTTTAAATGTGTGCTATCCACCGAATACTGAGCAAGATAAGCAGATGTACACAGCTATCAATTACTGTATACAGTATCTCAGTCAGTCAGTGGATCAGTAAATGGGGTTCTTCAGAAGTTAAAAAAAATGCTTTTAAAACAAACTGTTGCAGTGCTGTTCTGAAGCTGTATCATTCTGATGTATTTTTGATAAGGTTTTTATTTTGTCTTAGTGGCAATATACAGTAGCTGTAGTAGGTCTTTTTCCCAGAAACAGTTCTACAAGACCATTAGAAGGTTTACGTCTTGAAGTCTCAGCCTTTTTTTCTTTTCTTGTTTCATAAATATATGAGTCACATCCCCACCTCAGATTATTGCTCAAGAAATAAACAGATCATTAATCATCCTTGACTGAAATGTAGAATGCTCTGCAGTTGTGAACAAATTGATGTACTTTTTTAGCTGCAGGATAATTAGACCCATTTACTTCTATACAGTGGATGTATTGCCAGTTACCTCAAATATATAATCCTTCTTGAACAATCTCCTGCCATGCCATTTGCATTAATAATAATTATTGCCTTTTTTCACCTAAGATCTTTGATTAAAAAAATAGAATAGGTGTTGCAAGCAGCTTTAGAGCTTCCAAGCCTAACTGCTAGCACTAGGTGAGTGACATGCATGAGTTAACTGTGACCAGCATGAATGAAAACTGTAATCTTACTGTGAACTCTAGGTTACACGCATCAGTTAATGGTGACCAATATGTATAAAAACCCTGCGAGATCTAGGTGGCATGCACCACTTAACTCAAGGTTGTCTGTGTAAGACATCTCCTTCACATTTGCGTGTGGCAATGTCTTGCATACCTTTCACAGTGCCACCAGCAGGTCATTTTCTAGTAAAGCTATGGCTTGTTTAAGAAACTTAATAGCACATTCAGGTTGAGGGTACCCAGTATATAGAAAGCATCTTTATAAGTGGTCGGTTGTCATATTGGTTAATTAGTCACAAAATCTCAGTGACATACAATTATGGTTAGTTGTAAAAATACAACAACGGAAAGCTCACAAACAGGAGCTCATGTGGCTTATTTGATTTTGAGTAGCTATGTGATTCATGGATATTTTTTAATAATCTTGATCTTTTTTTTGTCACTAACTCTGCACAGTTTATTCTGTTTGTGCTTTTGAATTAGTTTACACTGCGTTTAAGAAGAAAATGACTGTCGCAGTGGTTGTAAGTTAAAGGTAAACGTTAGAAATCCAAACCGGCGGAGAGCCAGTGAAAAAGTTTTCAGTTGCACCCCCAGAGATACCAGAAAGTATCAGAGACACCATGGGAGGCAATGGGAGTCTCGGTTTTCCCTTAAATCGAGTTTGCCAAATATATTTTTTTGGGGAAAAGAAAACTGTATATATTTTTGTTAAAACAGCATAAGCTGTCTTCTAGAATCTAGAATCTACCAAGAATCCCGTGGCTGAGTCTCGTCTATGATGTTGACAGCTGAGCGTTGTGGAAAGAACAGTGAGTGTCTGCTGAGGTGGCTTGGCCGGCCAAGCAGCCTCAATACGTTTGCCCTGTGAGGTGGGACTTCAAAGTCCAGGACTTCCATTAAGGGCCTTAACTGAGAGGTTCAAGGTGAGAAAGGCAAGAGAGGAACTGCAGAACTGTCAAAGAGTGACTGTGCTGATAGCAGGGTGTTTCAGGCCAGAGCTGTCGTGGAGCCAGGCAGGAAGAGAAGAGGAAAGCCAAGGAAGTAGTATGTCTAACTAGTAACTAGTAAAGTCCAGCCTATGGCGTAGCGTAAGAGTGAGAAGGACCTGTTTCAGCAGGAAGTGTGATCTGCTGAGCAGGAGGAGAGAAAGAGTTGAAAAATGCTCTTGGACCAGATTAAGTGGGGAAAAAAACAGTTTGTAAAGAGCAGAGCGCCATGGAATAATTTGGTGCAGAGAGAACTACGGCAAATCCAGTTTCGTATTGGAGCATTTTGCGATTGACTTCAAAGGGTTCCAGTCTGTGTACAGTATGTGTGGAAGGCTGCCTTCACCAGCTTTATTCTGTTTACAGAGTGGAGCTTTAGATTGTTTCTAGTTTCTGCTCCAAAGGCTGCTGTGGAAGGCTGGTTGCTACCTAATGAGAGTGGGGGGGGGCTGAGTGGCCTGCTCTTGGTTGTAAATTTGTACATCTTGTTATGAAATCCTGGCTGACATGAAAATATAATGATCTTTGTTTAGTTAAAATTATGGCCCCGCAGGTAAATGACTTACCCATTACCCCTGAGCCACACAGTCTTCAGTCTACATTGATCAGGCGGGTGGCTGAATGCTCTCTATGTCTTTACTGTCTAGAAGAGACACTGCCACGGTTGAAAGGAAAAATCCCGAAGAGCCAGATTATGAGGGAACAACGGATGAAGAAAATGAAGAGAACAATGCTTGTTCCCAATCTTCAGCATCAGCCAGGGGTAAGATAAAAGGCCTTTGTCCTTTCCAGGGAAAATTATGACCAGATATTGTATGTAAGGGTGGACTACAACAGAGCCAAACCAGAATTAATCATTTCCTTATGAACAAGCTTCTCATTACTCAACAAAATTACAAACAGCAGTTTACTTAGGGGCTTTCAGAAGAAAAAAAAATCTAAGCCGTTTCTTAAATCCTCCTAAAAAAAAGATAAATACGTTTCTTGTACTAGTGTATAAACTGTTAAGATTTTTAATGATTCAATTAAGTTCGCAAAAGAACATTGAGCATTCGTTATGGCTTACAGGGAATCTGTTATGAAAGTTTAGTACATGGGGACTGCAATACAGTTTGGAGACAGCCTACCAAACCAAAGATTCTGTGATACAAAATTAGATTCTGTTGCCATCTATAGCCTACAGTACATAGAAAATGAGCATTCTTATTTTTGTACATATGAACCTTGACTATAAAAGAATATTGTGAACACTTTACCATGTCGTTTGTTCTTTTTTTATTTTGCTAGCTGGGTGGTTGCATTCTAGCTGTGCCAACCAGAAAATGAGGTTTTACATCTGCCCATTAGACCAATATACTGTACCACAGGAGGACTTTTCTAAGCAATATTTTAGTTGCTATTATGTTATCAACTTAAAATGGTATGGAGACTTACTCAGTACATCCAATTTAAGAGATTTGTTTTACATGTTATTTGCTTTTCTTTGTGGTGAAACACAGAGATGGCTGATTGTTGTTTTTTTTTCTTATAATGAGTTTTTTCGTTTCTTATTCTGTGTCTTCCAGTTGACGCCTCACCATGTAAACCACAGCTTTATTCTTTTGGAGGTTATTTATCCAATCCAGTCAACCTAATGATGTTCACATTGACGACATTTAGTTATTTAATCAGTTTGACTGTTTGCCTTTTTCTGTAGTGGAGCAAACCTTCAAAAAATGTTTCCTGAAAACCTACAGTGTGCACCACATTTCACAACCCGGAGCTTTCTAAACAGATATTTTAGTTAAAGGTAGTAAGTGAATAACAGAGGTTTAGAAAAATAAGTTAAGAACCACCTTCTCCCACTTGGTTTTTAACATTTGATTTTTGATAATTGCCATAATTTCAACCTGTTGGAGTTGTTCCAATAAAAGTCCTGAGAAAGCCCATCCCTGAGTAGCAAATGTTAGCAAAGAAATGGTGCACAGCATTTCAAAGGGAAAAAAGGTCTTCCTCTGTTTCATTGCTTCAGGAGGGGAATATGTATAATTATATGGTAATTGTGGTTTGCCTTATTGCTACTTTGAGAGTCTCCCTGGGTTTTTGTGGGTCAATCTTTTGACTTTTGCCTGAAAACAGGCTGGACGCTCTTGGCATTTCAGTGCTGTGCGCTGGTTGCCTGTTCTTTTTCTGCCCCATGGGTGAAGATGTAAAACCACAGCCCCATCTGGTTGGTACGTTCTCTAGGTCCCCCTGGTACTTTTCCAAAGAGCAGCAGAGGCTCTGCACCCTCTGGCCACAGTTTAATTGCTCTGCTCAGCCTGGAGACACAGACACCCCTGCAGGACGATGGCCACACCGCTGTCTTACAGTACTTCTTCAGGTCTGCTGCCTTTCCTCTTTGGCTGATTCTGGGGGGGCTGTTTCTGCTTTCATCCTGACCGATCTGTTGAAATCCCTCCCTGTTTTGTCCAACCTGTTATTTTTTGAGGAAACGTCTTTAATATCTTTTTCATCCCCTATTTCTCCTATGCTTTTTTCTTTCCACACTGTTATTCTTGCTGTTACTAATAATTTAATTAATTTGGCAGACATGTTTTACAAAGTAGGTTACAGAAATTAAGAGGCCAGACTGCATCAACAGCAACTCTGCTGCAGAGCCAGGTACAGAAGGGCCTGTTTTACACGTCATACAGTGTGATTGATTTACATATTCAGGGTGATGTATCCTTGTGGTAACGCTTTCATTTTCAGTTCAAACAGTACTATCACTCTAGCTGTAAGTCTACTCACTGTGTATCTTTATCCCTGAGTAGCAAATCTTAGCAAAGACATGGTGCAAATGTCTTTTAAATATTTGGAGAGTGAACATTTCATCATCTAAATTTGTTTTTTGTTATTTATGTGTGGTTATAGAATGAACATAAATTGGCAGAATTCAATGACAGATCTAAGGATCTGTTATGCTTTTTTAAATCAATTTATTATAAGAATCTAATTTTTTAGCTCATTAATTTTTTGTCCAATTTAACTTTTATGCCAAAATATAACGAGATTTTACACCTGGAACAAAAAAAAACTGCCATATGTTGTACGTCTTGCTCCCCTGTAAAGTCTGTGTTTTTTAAATGTTTAAAAGAGCTGCACCTTCATAGAACTCCAGATGGGCCAGATGTTGAATGTCTCCAGATGCTTAGAGAAGCTGTATATTTGGTTGTAATGCAAGAACCCAGGTTTATACTACAGTATGTGGTTGCAATTCATCCTGCTTGGTGAACTTTAAGGTTGGTACATTTATGAAGTAGTCATGTACTGTATATTTGTATTTATACGTACAGTATGTGCCTACACTTACTGTACGAAAACTTTGTGTTCTGTGTATTTTCCTTTAACACATTATGTCAGATATCAGTGATAATGTGTCTAAAAGTATAAGGATTCCTATAATCAGCCCTAAATGAGTTTATTTCCCAGTAAGCTTAGTTTTGTGGGTTCAGCTGCAAAACCTTCCTGTGAAATATTAGCTCATCAGTTGATATTTTAATGAGTGGTCTTATGATGGGGATGTGGCCCTATCACAATCATGTCCGTTGAGGTGTCCATACCCTTCGTAGTGACGCTGTTCCTGACAAAATAAAGGGGGCGTGTGCACGACTCTTCGGCTTTCCTCCTGCGTCTCCTGTTGTCTGTTTGTCTCTGTAGTTCTGGGAGGGAGCTTGTCTGTCACTTGATGAGACAGAAAGGCCGTCATTTCTACCAGTGATCTGGGAATGAGGAAATTAACCTAAGTGGCAGTAATATTAGGTTTAGGAAAGGGGGGATGCGTTTATTCCAAGCAAAGAAGTGTCTAAACGCTTGCCGCTGGTAAGATTTTCAAGTGATGGACAAAGACTGCATCTACGGAGAGGAGTTCTGTCGCTGAGTGTGTCCCTGGCTGCTGTTTCTCTTGCCAGTGTTTCATCAAAACCCAGGTTTCTGTGAGTGATAAAATCTTCATTGACCGTACAGTGGAAATACTTTCTGCTCTAAGTGTAAGCCTTTTTCAGACAGCCGGGAAAAGTCTGGGAGAGGTGTAGAAATTGCATTTAACTGAGAGCTGCTCCTTCTTGAAAATCCTGAGGTTGCATAAAGCTTAAAAAATTGGAACTTTAAGTATATGGTTTCTGTTTCTGAAAAAAAAAACACTATTAAATGCACCAAGGTAACTTAACCCCAGCATTTTCAGTAACTTATTTTTAAAAGATAAGTCAGTTTTTTTTTTTTTACTTTTCGTTTAAGGGTAGTATTATTTATGGATGAGTTGGGTTTATTTATTCATTCTCTGAATATCTAGATAAAGGCTAGATGTAAACTTGTGCATATTGTTCTCCTAAGGTACATTCACGAGGACGTTAACATTTTCTCTGGCGAACGTGAGGGCAACAAAGATTTGTTGTGCTTTAACCATGTAGAGGCTCTGCTCTAAATATCATAGGCTGTATTTTCAGGTTAGTGTAACGAGGAGGTAAAATTTAATTATTTGTATAGCACAGAGTGAAGAACCATTAGAATTAAAGTCTTGCAAAGGTGTTTTGTCTTACTATTAAAAAAACATCTAATAGCATTGTTATTTTTCCATCTAAGAATGAGACAAGGAGCTAGTTCATATGAATACTGTATGATTAAATTCAAACTATGAGTAGAATTACAGTATATGAGTGAACATACTGTAAAATAGACGCTGAGAAATAGAGAATGGGTTACAAAATCCGGGAGGCCATTCAGCACCTTTCTAAATGGTTACTAAGCAATGATCAGTCCTTGAAAACCATCCAGCTGTTTGTTCCCAGAGCATTAAAGGCAACATTGTGATAATGCAGTTTGATCCAGACTCCCAGCACTTATAATGCCAAGACATGCCTCATATTTTCGGTAATAAACGCCTGGGCTCTTAACTTCCACTTGACTCCTTTGATTTATTAGTAAGCTTGTTATTGCCTTTTGGACAGACTTTTTATACCACCTTTTTATTTTAATCCTTAATATCTAAGAGGATTTTGAAAGCTTGAATCATGCCCTCGTGTACATACTAAAGAAACATACAGTAGTGCACTTTGTTTTACATTAAATTGAGATGATGAAATATTCTGGTGTGCTGTATCTGAGCTCCCAGGTCAGCACTATCCTTTTTGGAAATCTAGTTCATAGACGTGAACACAGGAACCTGCACAGTTTTTATTATTTTGTTTGTGCTCTTTTAACTTTGACGTTCTTTGCAGTGTTTTTGTAATCTTAAGCATGGCCTTTCCGGTTGTATATTTTACTTTCGAGCGTCTCAGTATGATTTTCTGAGATTCAGACTTTCTCACTACCTGTCTGCCTTTCTCCCTAATGCCTGATACTACTGTGGACGGCTGTGAGGGTTCTTCTGTAATCTGTGTTCTGCCTCCCTGTTGTTGTGTCTTTGTATTGGCCACCAGCTGTATCACTCTGCAACTCACAACTGGCAAACCACTGAAGCTCAGCAGGTGTGAGCCTGGTCAGTACCTGGATGGGAGACCTCCTGGGGAAAACTAAGGTTGCTGCTGGAAGAGGTGTTAGTGGAGCCAGCAGGGGGCACTCACCCTGTGGTCCCAGTGGGTTCTAATGCCCCAGTATAGTGACAGGGACACTGTACTGTAACAAGGCCCTGTCCTTTGGATGAGACATAAAACCGAGGTCCTGACTCTCTGTGCTCAGAAAAATCCCAGGGCGTTTCTTGAAAAGAGTAGGGGTGTTACCCTGGCATCCTGGCCAAATTTCCTA